TTACTTACAGATTTCTTAGAACATGCAACCTGTTCTCTAACCACCATTTGCTGTGTTTCCAGCTAGACATCCACCCATCTTTGACCCCCAGGGAGACCTCCAATCCATTTAGCCTACCACCTTTTCATAGTCCTTAATTATCTCAATTTTCACTCTTCTGATCACCATGAATATTATGGTCAATTCTTCTCTACAATAATTTCTCCACCACACAGAATCCACTGCTTCTATTATTTGATTGTATCTGCTGGTTAATCTAGTACACTGATTAAATCCTTGTTTTCACTGTTTCATGCCTTTTTCAAAAAGATGATTTATTTACTTGCATCTTCTATCTGCTGACTTATTTCTTAAATGACTGTAATAGTCAAAACTAGACCAGGCCAAGCCAATCCCCTGGAGCTCCATTCAGGTTTCCAACACGGGATAGCGGGGACATAAGTACTTGGGCCATTACTTTTACCTTTCCAGGAGCATTAGCAGGAAGGTGGGTTGGTAATAGAATATCTAGGAATTGAATATGCTGTGCGATGGGGGCATCCCAAGATGTGACTTAACCTGCTTGTCACAGTACCCACATCTTAAAACATGACTCTACGGTCCCTAAACCAACATATTTACAGTACTCTCTTAAATAGACCCTTAAGGCTACCAGACAACCTCAGGGTATTTTTCTTAGTCCACTCACTCTCCCTATTTGTTTTAACTACTGACATGTTGTTTAACATCTATCATTCCCCTGTCACCCTTGCTTCGAGCTGATGGCTTTGCTTTCTACTTGGAAAATGCTCAAACAGCCAGAAGAGATTGCAGAATACTTCCACCATCCCAGAACCTGCCCCCACACGCTGCAGCCTACATCCATGTTCCTAACTAAAGCAATGTCCCTTCTCAGTGCTTCAGACTCCATTCCCTATCTCCCCAAAATCACGATTTTTTTCTCCTCTATTGAATTATCCTCATTTGCATGCAAAAAATGTCATTTTTTCTCCCATCCTAAAAAAAAAAAAACCATTTTTGACTCTATTGCCTGTATTTTTCCCCTTGACACAAAAATATGTAAAGAATCATTGACTCTCACACTTTCCAATTATTCACTCTGGTTCTCTTTCTTTTAAAAGATTTGTTTATTCAAAAGGCATAGCTACAGACAGGGACACACACACACATACAAACACACACAGAGTTTGTAATAAATCTTTCATCCAGTGATATACTCTCCAAATAGCCACAATAGCCGTGGGACAGGCTAAAGCCAGAAGCTTGCAACTCCATCCAGGTATCCTACGTGGGTGACAGGGATCCAGGATCTTGGGCCGTCTTCCACTACTTTCCCAGGAACATTACCAGAAAGCTGGATCAGAAGTAAAATAGCTGTAATTCAAACTAGAGCCCTTTAGCATTCTGGCATTGTGGGAGGTAGCCTATATGCATTCTAGTTCATTTTAGCCTATCTTATCACATTTCTCAAAGTTTACTGTCAAGATCACCAAAGATAACTACCAAACTCCAAGTTTATCAGTTTTCATTTTATTTATTTGAGCTTTCAACAGCATTGCATGGTTCATTCCCTCCTTCTGAAACTACTTTGCTGGCTTGCAGGGTAACGCATACTCCTGGATTTCTCCCCGTTTCCTGGGTGTTCCCTTCTGATCTCCTGTGTTGGTTGCCCCTGTTCTTACCGAACTCATAATATTCGACCAGGCTTCAACCTTTGCTTCTCTTTTCCTTAGATATGCATTCCTTGGAGATCTTATCCAGTCTTAGACTTAAATTCCCTCCAGCTGTGGACAGATCTCTAATTTGTATCTCCAATGAAACACCTCTGAACTTCAAACTTGCTCTAAAAGTTCCAACTGTGTTTAACACCTCCAAAATTGTATCCATATCCCATGTTTCAAACTCTAGCATGTTCCTCTTCCTCGGAGCTTTCCACGTTACAGCCAATGGCAACTCAATCTTGATGAAATTTTAAAAAGAAGAGGTTATTTGTCATTCCTTTCTTCCTTACACGTAGAATATCCATCCATCAGGAAAACGTATTGACTAACTTCAAATGCATTCATAATCTGCCCACGTCTTACTTCCTTCTTGCTACTACTTTGGTTCAAGCCACCATCTCTTCTCAGGAACTTTATTTCCAACCCAGTACAGTAGAATAATTCAACGATCCTTAGAAACGTAAGCTGAGACCTTAAAATCCCATAAAGTCTTCTTTGGAATGTAAGAGTCTGTCTTCAGTTGAATCCCTCTGTCTTCAGTGACCTTATTTCTGTAATCACTCTTCATGTTGTTTACTCCTGGCATGTAACAGGTGCTCAATTAATACTTGTTGAATGGATAAATCTAATTTTTCCATGAGATCCAGAACAGCTATTCTAGCCAATATACTCTGGTAATTATTGGACCCAATTTTATGTGTGTGTGTGTGTGTGTGTGTGTGTGTGTGTGTGTGTGTGTGTGTTTTCAGCACCTATTAAATAAACTGACCAGGATAAGTAAAACTAATGGTGAAAAATCCCATAATAATACTTCCATTTATCTGAATCCTACAGCATTGTTTTTTGCACCAGCCAGCTTCTAGAACTCTTTCTGAACAAGCTGCAAACACAGTTGCAAGGCACATTAATAAGAAATGAATCTCCAATGCGTTTTCTCATGGATGAGTCTCTACCAACCTTCAACAAGACAAATGGCATGAAGCTATTACCCCATCTTTAGAGGTGTCGTATGTAAGCAATAAGAACTAACCTTCCATATTGCATATTCATCACTGTAGCCTTTTCCTAAATATATCCTTTCCAGACTTCTGCCAAGCTGTTGCTCACTCCCAGTAACAGCTAAATCAATTGAGCATATTGTACTGGTTTGCTTAAATGTGTTTGTTTACTAGTTGTAGCCTGCATTAAGAGCAGGATCATTCCATGGTGCTTGGCTGTCTGGCCTTCATCCAGCTCTCTGCTCTCCCAGTTTCTCACTGTGCAACACAGCAATCTCTCTACCTTTGCACATCCTGAAAGTTACCTGATTACCATTTAATGCTCTGTTCTGTGGCTCTGTGCTGCACTGTTTGAACTCTGGCCTAAAGTTAGGTTAATATCCTCACAAACAATGAGGCTAAACGCAACTTCATCCTTTCTTTCAACCTTCCAGTTACACCCTTGGCCAATGCTGATATCTTCTTTTCCCTTTATTTCCCTTGTTATTGTACTGCAAATGAGGCACGTGCTATTTGAACAGGCACAAGAATATGATATGAGTATGTCCTTATCTAAAATGTCACTTTTTCAGGATTCTTTTTGCCTTGTTCTTTGTTAACCAGAGTTCTATTGTTATGAAAATTATATAAAAATACCCTGAATCCTGTGCTTTCAGAGAGCTCCTATATTCTCTAAGCAACCACAATCCCACGGTTCCTAATTAAAATATTCAAAGGTGAAATTCAAGTAATTTCAACAAAATACATTACTGCCTCTTCTGAAATTCCTAAATTAAAAAAAGAAACCTTTAGCAATAGGAGAAAAGAAAGACGTTTTTGAATCTACAGCACAGACTTCAAAGACAAAAGTGTGTTATTTTCTTTCCAGAAAATTCTAGCACTATATAATTACTTTTGTATGCAAAATGAATAATGTAATTTTCTAAAATGCTAAAAACAGCGAGAGAAAAACCGTTCAACTCACGCTGGCCTTTCCAGAGATCACATGAGATAGGAAAGCAGAAAATATTGCTCTGAAAGCAGCCCAAGGACCAAAGCAGTGAGGAAACGCAGTTGGGCAAAAAGTTATGTCAGAATCGTATCTTTTCATCTAGATGTCAGCACTTGTGTCACTTCCCCCACTTCACAGAAAATGCAACACTGATCGCACTCCAAGATGCCACAGAAAAACACCAATCAGAAATGCATCCAGAGCTTCCAAGCATTCTAGTTAAAAATAACAGCAGAAACATCAATTAAGCTCCATCGATTGCACCACAAATGCACTGATAGAGAAAAAAAAAAAAAAAAACAGCAAAATCCCACCTGCATGGAAATTTAAATCGCAGCTATTCTCCCAATTCAGAGAGAGAGAGAGAAGAGAGAGAGAGAGAGAAAGAGGAGAGAGAGAAGCGCTCCACTCCGGTCGCCAACAGAACTAATCCCAACACGCAGATCCAGTGGGATTGTGTGTTGGTGCCAGGAACCCAGCACAACTCCCCAGAACTGCTCCGGAGACCTGGAAGCTTCCGCGCCGCATGGCCTCTCTGAGGTGAAAGAAAGCCGTGGGACAGAACACAACCAAACTGTCTCCTCGGGCTCCGGGCCGATCGCGACGTGCGGCGGAGCGGGTGGGGGGCGGGGGCGGGTGGCCCTATCGCGCAGCCCCCTGCCCCTCAACTGTTTGTACAAGCATCTGGCCCCAAGCTCTGGGACTGCCCAGGATGGAGAGCTTCCCCAAAACGTTTAAAAGATGGGATGTCTTGCTGGCCACGTCTCAGCAGCGCAGAGCTGGCCGCCCACCACCCAGGCGGGCAAGGACAGGGTGAGCTGCCCCCGCCAGCCAACCTCTCGTTGGAGCTTCTGCAGCCTGCACCCCCAGCGCGCCACTTGGCACCCCGTAGGGGCTTTAGGAAAGTGCAGTCCCTGGAGATGTTTCCTCTAAGGGAACAGCCATGTTAGTCTCTGCCAACATAAACCAGTGGGGGGTGAGCCGCCGAGACGGCTGTCGGGAGCGCTCGCTGGGTTGCTCTGGCGCCTCCGCTCTCTGGGCTGCGACTGTTTCCAAACTCTTGGGCGCGACCGGCCCGCGCCACCTCGCTCTCTCCCTGTTCAGCACCGAGGACAGCGGACGTGCTTTTCCTCTGGCTGGGTCCCCGAGGCTGGCGGTGCGCCGCGTTAGCTGGGGCAGGGCTGCAGGTGTCCGGACCGGGCGCCCTTACAGCATAGCCACGGCGCCCCCTACGCGCCCACCTCCCTTCCTTCATTGTCTCGCACGCGGCAGCCCCACAACGTTCCTTACTTTTCTGGCTGGAGTAACCCGGGTAATAGCCATAGTAGCCGGTGATCCGCAGGATCCGGTCCTCGATGGTGGCCACCCCGTTGGGGGCCGCCTTGACGTCCATAGAGAGCGTGGGGGCGGCGGCCCCTGTCGCCGAGGGGCGGCGGACGCAGCGCGAGGCTCGGGAGCTGGTGCAGGTGCTGCCGCCGCCGCAGCTGGTGCTGAGGTTGCAGCTCGTGCTCCCGCGCCCTGGCTCTGACTCCACCGCCCGGCGCAGCACGGGCGCCGCATCACAGCGGCGGCGGCGGCGGAGCGGCCCCCAATCGGACCAGCTTCTCGTCAGCTTGGCAGCTCTCCCGCCTGCCACCCCGCACACTGCTGTCCGAACAGCGCCCCCTCACCTCTCGTGCCTACTGTGGCCAGCAACGAGTGTGGGCGCCCCACCTGGACGCTACTTCTCAGCATTTAACCCTGTGCGCCCGCGCCCCCAAAATGTGCACAGCGCCCAACCCCCGCCACTGAAGGGAGGGCTGTCTGGTCTGGGGGTAGGAGAGAAGATGAGCAGGTGCGGCGGTGGCGGGGATGCTCGGGAAGAGGGTTGGGATGGGTGAACGCCAAGCGGGGCTCAGCACCTGGGGCGCCCCATTGCTTGGCATCTGCACCACCTCGGCCTGCTGATCCATAAGCGCGCTCCGGGGCCATTATCAATTTCCACAACTTGCCTAGAAAATCCCGAGTCTTTTTTCTTTTCTTCTTCTCTCTCTTTGTTTTAAGACATGAAAGGAAAGAAATGAGACCCCCGGCAGATAGTGTGTGGTTTAATGGTGCAGTTGTGTGCACATCAAGATTTGAACAGTTCAAGTACCCAGCCTGATAATCCACGCGGTTCCTCCCTCCATCCAGGGGCAGCCTGCAAAGTCCCAGGGCAGCTGCATGCAGTACGTTCATTTAGCCAATTCCAAATGCTCTAAAGAGAAACTATTTTCTCCTGTGTTGTCGAAAACCTCAGCCTGTCTAACCGCAATAGTCTAGGTAGTTGAATGCTGCAGCTACTTCCCAGAGAGTTTCAATGGGAACAGCATGACCTTGACGCTGAATGGTCAGTGGGACGCACAGCCCTCAGTCTCTCTGGGGAGTGGCCTTCTTGCCTTAGCAATAGTGTCAAAATTCCAAGAGCAGCAGAGATCCTGCCTCCATTTGTAGCCTGCAGTCACAGCGTCTTTATATATATATAAAATAAAATAAAATCAATCCCCCAAGCTTCATCTCAGAAATGGCTGCTGGCCAGGGAGGAGGACCACCAAGTCAGAGGTCATGGTGTGGGCCTTTCGCACAGGTGAGCTCTCACCTTCTAACAAATGCCAGAGAACAGGTTGACCCCAGAACCCTTCTTAGCAGCCTCTGCAGACCCTAACACAGCGTTATGCCTACAAGCATTTTCCACTGAATGGGAAAGAAGCACACAGATTCTCTTAAAAGGTGGGTTAGGTTTAAGCAGAGGAGATTGTAACCGTGGTATTGCACAATGTGCTGAGGGATTTTATCCATGTGCACAGCCCAACACAGGCTCTTGGGATGAGAGTGAATCCGAGGTTACTGTGCCTGGAAGGAGATATTATAAGGAAACCAGCGTCCTCTCACCTGTTTTCTGGGTTAAGAAAGAAAACAGAGAAGATTCAATGGCCAAAAGGGACCAAAAGGAAAAAGCAAAGCAAATGCAATGACGGGGAGTCATAATCGTTTGATTATTTTGTTGGAAAATGTATCGTTTGCATTCACTTAAAATGTCCCTTTGACTTAAAGCTTCATAAACATTTTATTACGTTACATCTATGATGTGCCATTCATTGTAGCACACAATACATTAATGCATGCATTTAATAGGAGAGAAATCAGGAAACAATTCAAACAAAAGCCTTCAAACACAACAGGAATAGGAATATGAATACATATAAGTAGTTTTGTCCCATACATGCTTGTGATTTGTTAAAATTTAAAAATCTAGCTTATTCTTATTACATGAGTTGATACCTTCTTTCTAGATTTACGTTGTTTTCTGAATTTTGTGGAGAAGTAGCTAGAAATGTGTTTAGCTGAGTATGATCATTCACAAACACAAATAATATATGCATTGTACCCACAACCATTCATTTTCATGCAAGTGTGGGCATGCACTAATGTGAGTGTGTATATGGTGTGTGTATGAATGTACTCTGAATCTGGCCTGGAAATAAAATTAAAACTACCAGTGTATCTGCAAGTGCCTCTGTAATCGTCTGTAATACTATAACTGAAAGGGAAGATGCCAGGAGCTGTTCTGACCCAGGACACATGCTCTTTCTTGGGGAGAACTGAAATTCCACAATGATAAGTTATCCGAAAGCGAAAGGTGACTTTCTGTCACAGGTAAACACACTTTGGCTATACGATAATATTTTACACCTTGCAAATAATGGCCTTTGGTTTTTGCCAAAGAAATCCAGACTTTCATGTCCTGTCACTTCTAGGGGCAACAAGATCTCCACTCTCAGAGACCAGAGCCCTGAGGTGTGTGTTCTGGCAGTGTGAGATGCCAAAGAACTATAGAAAAGCACTCAATTTAGGCAGGTTCCCGCTCTCTCGATCCCACCCACCTGCTACATACTTTCAGGAAATACACTGTGGACCTGCAATCATTCCGTGACTTGTTGATCTTCCTCGACAACTTGGACTCCCAATTCACCTGCCACGAGGACATCTTGAAAAACCCAGTAATGTGGTTTGCAGGTGGTGCACTTTGAACTTGACCTTTTTCTAAAGGTAAACCCTACTGGAACAGAAGAATCTCAGTGACCCACAGCCCTCCTGTTTCAGGAAAAAGAAACCCTAGCTGTTGCAGTCCTCTGTGGGGATCAGGGACAAAGAGGTCACTAAGTCAACAGTTAAGGTCACTGGGTTACACGTGGTGAGCAAGATGGCAGCCAAGGACAGAGCGAGCCCTGGGCGTGCACTAGGGTGGGGGTCAAGTTGTTTCATAGAAAGAGTGATTGGCCAGGACCATTTCATTCACCTGCCCCTGGCCTGTGGGAGGTGGCTTCCTCACTCCTGCTGATGACAATTGGATCCTAGTTCTCCCCTCCTGGAATTCCTGGAATTCTTGGCCTGAGGCTGTTTGCTGTTCTAGATAAGAATTTGTACTTCCCAAATAAACCAGAATTGCTTAAACAGGGGAAGGGAAAAAAGAAATGATAGTAATTATTTTGAGGGAAAGAGAATTTAAAAAAAAATTTTTTTCACATATTTATGTATTCAGTCCATTTTCAAAAACCCCAAATTCAAAAGTATAACTGATGAAATATGAATTACTGAGTACCTCAAATCTATTCTGGAAGAAGTAGGAAGAGATTTCATGTAACAAACGAGCATTGAAAGTGGTTGTCTGATTCACAAAATGGTTCATCACAGTGGTTGTACTCAAGGGCGGTTTCCCCAGTCACCGTAACTCACAACTTGATTTACAAGCATTTGGTGTGTGTGCCAATTTTCAGGGATGTTTCCAACACATTAAGCGCAGGCTATCTGTCTGCAGGTCCGAGTGAATGTCCATACCTGTGCCATATTATTTCCATCACCTGATGAAGTCAGAGAAGTGACAGGATAAACTGAGTATATTAAATCTAGCTATGTTGTAAAATCCAAACCAATCCCTTATAAAAAATAGTTCATGTGATGTTCATTTAACCCTGTGCGTGATGTTAAAATAACTACACTAAGTGATCACATTAAAATTTAATGTGAAATTTTAATGTGAAAAATTTAATGTGATCACAGGATATAAATTCTATGGGAAAGTATGTAAATAGTCATGAGATGGCTAAAACATCACTCCAGCCTTGATAATTTGGAAAACTTAGTAAAATAAAACCCATAGACTCTTGTCTGTCCTCATCAGAGTATCAGAAACTGGCATCAGAAAACCTGAGTTTAAATTCTCTTCCCGTGATAGTAATAGTCACTTCATCTTTCCAAGCACCCATGCAAAGTTACAGTGAGAAAAAGAGAGAGACAATATTTTTAAACTCTTCCCACTTTGGGCTTAGAGTAATTTGGCTTCTTGGAGAACCAAAAATGTTTAAGGTTTATATCAAGGGCCAATGTTAACTTACCTAAACATCAGAGCCATGTATAAAGAGTTGATCCCAAATAGCTTCCATGATGCCAAGTGTGCCAAGTGTGTTAAGAAACAGCAACTGAAATATTGCGTTTTTAGGAAAGCTGTTTTGAGTAGTTAATGATTAAGTCCCAGCTGCCTCATTTTGGAGTGCTGACTCGGCCTTTCTATCCAGAGGTAGACATTACTAGCTTGCCTTTCAGCTGGAGGGGTTCGGGGATCCAGTCCTCTGGATGCCTGTCAATGAAGCAAAGGCGAAATCAACTCTTTGAGGTCAACAAAGCTTAATTTAACAAATAAACTCAGAATTTGTCTATGCCATGATTTCTCTCTCTCTCTCTCTCTCTCCCTCTGCCTCTCCCCCTAACTTCTTCTGTCACTCACTCTTATTCCCCAGCAGAGTAGCACAGAGGTTTATAGCAAGGACTCTGAAGCCAGCCAGCCAGCCAGGAATCATATGGGACCTCATCATTTCCTAGCTGTACAATTTATTATTCAAGTTATTCCACCACTGAACACAACATGCACAGCATTAGAAACGTCTGAGGCAGCTCCCTTCTCACGTCTTCATTGATCCTCTCCACCCCAGCCCCCGCCCCTGACAGTCAACACGCGGAGCAGGTCTGTGTGTCAGTGGAACAGGTGAGCTTCCTAATGAAGCACCTTGCAGAAAGGGGAGCTACTGATGGCCACCGGGGAACAGGCACAGGCCAAGGCAGGCATGCTTCAGAAGGGGCAGTGGGCTGGAGGTCCGGAGGGCAGACACAGAGGCCAGCTCAGCTCAGCAGGAGGTATCAGATCCAGCTGGATGACATTGCTGTGGAAGCAGGCCTGGGAGAGAACCCAGCTGAAGGCCCCTTGGGAGACTGGGCCATCAGCCTCAGAGAAGATTCTAGTTTGTCTGGAGCAAGAGGGGCCCAAGCCCCAGAAGAGTCACAGCCGACTTGATGGATGTACTCTCGGCAGTGCCCAGTAGACTGAAGCCCACAGCGTCTCCCCTGACGCCGAAGCTTAGCTAAGGATCTCTGACTGCACAACCTGCAGGCCAGAGCCCTGGTATACTAACATGACAAGCCTTGCTGTTTTTATGGGAAATTAGGACTCAGTGTATGCTTTACAGTCATTTCGTGTAAGTAATGAGTTTTTAAAACCTTGTTGAACAGCTGTGTTGGTGATTATACATTCAAACCTGCTACATACTCATCTTACAGATAAGCATTTTTATAATTTAAATGTC